CTCCAAATCCGGTCAGGGCACCACAAACAGACATGACCAAAAACCTTAAGTACCCCGTGCTTCTCTTTCGGCGTTCAACCAGGATGTTGGTATCTGCAAATGGTACCTAATCAACCCGGTTATGGTCCATAGGTGAGAGCGTGCTGCGGCGTCCACCATACAGTGTTCCGCGGGGGACAACGACCTTCCCACCCAACTCATCAAGGTATCCATCACCAGCAGAGCACAGGCTCCATCAGGGGGTCACGGGCTCACTCAAATCACAACTTAATTGAAGTTCTGACAAGCATGGGGAATAGACCTTCAAAACCAGTCCCGCTTCCCGGTGGAGGAGATTTCAGCAAATTAAACTTCAATAATACAGATAAATTGGGAGCAAATAAACCAAGATTTCACAGAAATAAACTGGGAAGAACAGCTACAAAATGCAAACCTGAACCGGTGCCTGGAAAAAAATAAGCTCAGTAGCTCTAGAAATATGTTCAAACAATATACCCCTAAGAAAAAAAGAGGGAGAGATGCAGATTGGAACGGGAACGTGGTTCCCTCTATAGGCGAAGAAAACGAATCGCAGAACAACTTATGAGTCGCACCCTATCTCAAGAACGGCGAAGAAGATTAAATAGAGAAATAGAAACAATTGAACTCAAGGTATATGAATCATACAAAACCCAGGAGAGGTAAAGAGAACAAAAGGCCATCAGTGAAATAGAGAGAAATCCGGAATATTTTTTTCTCCTATGCAAAATCAAGATAAAAAACCACATCTAGTATCGGGCCCCTGCGAAAGGGAGATGGAACTTTCACCGATGACAAAAAAGAAATGAGCGAAATACTAAGGAATCAGTGCGACTCTGTTTTCAGCGAGCCATTAAACATACTGAAGATTGATAACCCAAATGAATTTTTCATGGATATGATACCAACATCAAATCAAATATCAGATGTCACCCTATCCCCACTGGATTTTGAAGAAGCCATAAACAGTATGCCTATGCACTCTGCACCAGGCCCTGATTCTTGGACTCTATACTCATCAAGAACTGTAAAAAAAAAAAACACTATCGCAGGTCCTACACATTCTTTGGAGATGAAGCCTAGATACTGGCGTTATCCCTGATATACTTAAAATAGCAGAGATAGCACCACTCCATAAAGGAGGAAATAAGGCAGAGGCAAAAAATTAGACCAACAGCACTAACATCGCACATCATAAAAATCTTTGAGAGAGTGCTAAGAAGATAAAAAAAATACATGGAATCATAGCATCTCCATAACCCCGGACAACATGGTTTCAGAACAGGGCGCTCTTGCCTGTCACAGTTGCTGGACCACTATGACATGGCATTAGATGCCATGAAAGACAGACAAAACGCTGATGTAATATACACAGATTTCGCAAAAGCCTTTGACAAATGTGACCATGGTGTTATTGCACATAAAATGCGTTGAAACGGAATTACCGGAAAAATAGGCAGATGGATCTACAATTTCCTGACTAACAGAACCCAGTGTGTAATAGTCAACAAAATATAATCCAGCCCATCAACCGTGAAGAGCTCAGTCCCCCAGGGTACTGTGCTTGCTCCAGTACTTTTTCTCATCCTCATATCGGACATAGACAAGGACACAACCTATAGTACTGTATCATCCTTTGCAGATGACACGAGGATTTTCATGAGAGTAGACAACATAGGGGACACGGCAAACCTCCAATCAGACGTAAATCAGGTCTTTCTATGGGATATAGAAAATAATATGGTGTTTAACGAGGATAAGTTCCAGCTCATGCGCTACGGAAAAAATTAAAATATAAAAACGGAAACCACGTACAAAACTCAGTCAAATTATAACATAGAACGAAAAGGCAATGTAAAGGATCTGGGTGTACTCATGTCGGAAGACCTTACCTTTAAAGAACACAATAAAGTTGCCGTCACAACTGCAAGAAAAATGACAGGTTGGATAACAAGAACTTTTCACACTAGAGATGCTATACCGATGATGATACTTTTCAAAACGCTTGTGCTCTCTAGAGTGGAGTACTGCTGCACAATGACAGCCCCTTTCAAAACTGGAGAAATTGCTGACCTAGAGAGCGTGCAGAGATCCTTTACTGCTAGAATCCACTCAGTAAAACATCTAAACAACTGGGACCGGTAAAGAGCCTAAATCTGTATTCTCTTGAGCGCAGGCAGGAGAGATAAATAATAATTTATACGTGGAAAATATTAGAGGGGCTGGTCCCAAACCTGCACACAGAAATAACATCACATGAGACCAGAAGACATGGCAGGATGTGCAGAATACCCCCGTTGAAAAGCAGAGGTGCAACAGGTACTCTGAGAGAGAACTATCAACATCAGAGGCCCGAGACTGTTCAACACGCTTCCACTACACATAAGGGGCATAACTGGCCGACCCCTCACAGTGTTCAAGAGTGAACTTGACAAACACCTCCAAAGGATACCTGATCAACCAGGCTGTGACTCATACGTCAGGCTGCGAGCAGCCGCGTCAAACAGCCTGGTTGACCAGACCAGCAACGAGGAGGCCTGGTCGACGTCCGGACCGCGGGGACGCTAAGCCCCGGAAACCCTTCAAGATAACTTCAAGGTAAGGTAGCATAACACCTCCCAGCCCACACCTCCCAAGCCCCGGAAACACCCAACGTTGTATTTACCAACGTTGTGTTTACCATATATTCCTCATTTCAACGATCTAGCAAGGTTGATAACGTTTAACAAGGCTGTGGTCATACACAATGACACCACAGTAAAGTTACACATCAATGAGAATATCTTCGGAGCTGGGCGGCGGGATCAAACCCGCGTATCGTGACCCATGGGGTCAATGTACCTGTCTGGGATTACCCAGGATGATGAGGTCTACCCCAGAGAGTTCCTCGTTGTGGTCGTGTCGTGTGTGTTTAGTGGGTCACGAGGGCCCGACCTTTGACCTTGCTGGTCAAAGGTGAAAAGGGATCCATGTTTGCATCCCGCCCCGGAGAGCCACCAGCCGACAACACACCTTAAAGATAACCTTTATGCCAGACTTGAAGACTGGGTGTTGTGTGTTTACTGCTGTGAAGACTTCAAGTAACACCTTCAGACTCTTTCTCTCAGCAGGACTCTTGAGACTCTTCCCGCAGCACTTCAACACCTGCAGCATCCCTACACCTGCAGTAGCACCACATCACCACCACCACACTTGCAGCAGCAGCACCACACCTGCAGCAGCAGCACCACACCTGCATTAGCACCACACCACAAGCAGCACCACCACACCTGCAGCACCACCACCACACTTGCAGCAGCACCACCACACCTGCAGCAGCAGCACCACACCTGCAGCAGTAGCACCACACTTGCAGCAGCACCACCACACTTGCAGCAGCACCACCACACCTGCAGCAGCAGCACCACACCTGCAGCAGCAGCACCACATCTTCAACACTACCACACCAGCAGTAGCACCACACCTACAACACTACCACACCTGCAGCAGCACCACACCTACACCACCACCACACCTACAACAGCACCACCACCCACACCCTAACACAACTTGCACTTAGGAAAGCTGTACGTCTCAGCTGCTCCATGACGGGTTAGTGTGTACTAAAGAGTGTATGAGCTGCACACCACTGTGAGGGTGTTGGTAACAATAACACCCTCGGGGCGTCCCAACCTCACACACTCTGGAGTAAACACACACACTGCCGCCATGACTGAGGTAAGATGTACAGGTTTCGTCAGTGGACACATAAGTGCTTCAAGACTCCTGGTCATGTGCCTAGATAACTGATAATTGGATAACTGTTCTCAGGATAACTGGTAATTGGATAACTGTTCTCAGGATAACTGCCATGTTAAGGCTGAAGGCTTGGAAGTGCATACGCTTATTAGTGGTCTTCTCGATGTAGAATTTTTCTCCAATTAGAGTTACCTTTGTTCTTGTCTTCTAGGAATGCGTGTCAGCGGCCTACAAATAATAAATTGAATAAGGATGGGGAGGAGGCTGGGATGGGGGGGGGGGTGGATGCTGGGATGGGGGATAGAGGCAGGGATGGGGGGCTAGGGGGAGTGGCAGGGGGGAGGGGAAGGGGAGGGGGGGTATAGGAGGAGCCGGGGCTCCTGGTGCCAGCGAGAGGAGTCATGAAGGCAAACTTGGGTAATGACACTTAACGACTTCAATAAAAATCGGGACAAGATTTTCCAGAAACTTTCTTATATCCGCGCTGATGTGGCTGTCCTGGGGTGAGGGACGGGGGTGAGGGACGGGGGTGAGGGACGGGGGTGAGGGACGGAGGGTGAGGGACGGGGGTGAGGGACGGTGGTGAGGGACGGGGATGAGAGATGGGTGAGAGGGATGGGTGAGAGGGATGGGTGAGAGGGACGGGGGTGAGGGACGGGGGTGAGGGACGGGGGTGAGGGACGGGGGGTGAGGGACGGGGGTGAGGGACGGTGGTGAGGGACGGGGATGAGAGATGGGTGAGAGGGATGGGTGAGAGGGACGGGGGTGAGGGACGGGGGTGAGGGACGGGGGTGAGGGACGGGGGTGAGGGACGGGGTGAGTGACGGGGGCGAGACGGACGAGGGGGAGGAAACAATAAGAGACCGTATACAACGGAAAGACAATGTAAAGGATCTGGGTGTACTCATGTCGGAAGACCTTACCTTTAAAGAACACAATAAAGTAGCCATCACAACTGCAAGAAAAATGACAGGTTGGATAACAAGAACTTTTCACACTAGAGATGCTATACCGATGATGATACTTTTCAAAAACGCTTGTGCTCTCTAGAGTGGAGTACTGCTGCACAATGACAGTTCAAAATTTCAAAGCTGGAGAAATTGCTGACCTGGAGAGTGTGCAGAGATCCTTACTGCTAGAATCCACTCAGTATGCAGGCGATGAGTCACAATATCGTGGCTAAAGTATATTGACCAGACCACACACTAGAAGGTGAAGGGACGACGACGTTTCGGTCCGTCTTG